CTGCTCCAGAATTCCTGGTCTCCCAGGCATCCCCTCTCTGGCTTTAAAGGACCAGTATGTCCCATTATAACAAGAGATTCAAACTTGATAGTCTGATAATTCTTGAACAAAGGCAAAATCCATCAGATGGGTTATTTACAACAAATTGTTGTTCCAGCTCTACTGGTGTAGAATAGAGAGTGTTACAATGATCAGGATTACTCACTGTTCTGCTTCTGTTTTCTAGGTTCTCCCTGGATATGAGAACATCTATTTTGCTCATTCCAGCTGGTTTACATATGCATCTACGTTGAGAATATATAAACATTGGGACTTCGGTATATACCTTTTTAAATAAAGGTAAGTCATGGTTTAGCACAGACTAAAATATGGACATAAAAAGACAGTATCAGGAATTCCATAATAGCAAAAATAAAATCCGCATTAAGTATTACAACACCACCGTTGGACACAGGATCCCAATTAAAGATTTCAAAGTAATCAGCCACAGTTATGCAAAGGTACTGGATATGTAATACCTCACCTCTAACTTCCTTCTACATTTATGTTCATTCCATATGCTTGAATGTTGCCATATAAACCATTTAATTTCATCAGTTATTTGTGTAGAACAAAGCACATTAGCTCAGCGCCTTTGACAGATTAATTTTTTTTAAATATCAAGCAACTTTGTGCCTTGTGAAAGACAGCTGTGAGGATAAAAATCACTGAAATCTTCTTTAGTTACATCCAGTAATTATCTTCTTGTGGGGATGGAGAGATACTCAGTTAAAAAAATTGAGACTTCTCTACATGTGCATAAAAAAAATTCCAAGCCACTTTCCATTTTAAGTTAAAAGCTGGTCCATGTGTATATGTATGTGTGTATACACACAGACCAGCTCCTAGTGCCTTTATTACAAACAGCCGAAGAGATGAATACAAATACTGGCATTTTTTAAAAGCCTGGATCAATATCACCACCTGGTGGTGAAATAGATTTAGACTGGATTATTTTATTTACTGATGTGTCTGGTCCTCTTTTACTTTTGCATCCAAGAGAGTGTTCGAAAGTTAAAATCCATCCTGGATTTCCTTCTAGTAATGTAAGCCCATACAAAGTATTCAATGCAACAGGATAAACTTAATTTTTTTTAAGGGAATGTCTCTCCGTCTCCACAAGCAGATATTACCAGATGCAACTAAAGAAAGTTTCAGTATTGCCAACTCATGCCCTTTAGCCTACCCAATTCTAACATTTAAGGTGATGGAAAAGGTTGAGATCTACCAATTCCAAGCATCCTTGGCAATTATACAGAAGAGAATTAACCAAGTGAGATATTTCCATCTCCTCCTAACTTCTGTCCCCTGCTCATTGTTCCAGAATAAGGGTAAAATGAAATATCCTCAAAAATCTTGCAGACATATTCAGGGCTGGCTGGGAAGGGATATTCCATCTCCAACCCAAGTCTGGAAACCCATTTAACCCTGTATGTGTGAGCAAAAATCTCCACCTAATTCTATAAGGGAAAAAGTCATCATAGTTTCAAAGCATAATTCTCTAAAACTATGGAGGAATGTCTTTTCTCCTGTGATCCCTAGTTCTATGAATTCACTTTAGTATTTTTCCCTGGGCTAAAGGGAGCTGTGAAAATGGGAGGGTATAGAAACAAATTAATAGGCTGTGAAGGCTCGTTTCAGAATGGCACAAGGCAAGATAGTCAATAGAAGCAGACTTAGGTTTTGCTAGATGTCAAGAGAGAGTGATGTGTGGGCACACCTGAGAACAGAGTTTGGGCTCAGTGACCCAGGACTGGCAGCAAATTCTATTTCACAGCAGGAAAGGCAGAAGGGTCATGGGGATGATAGTGGGGAGAAGAAGGCAGAATCCCACAGAGGCACCTTCTTACCCAAAAGGAGTACAATAGGCACTATATGATGCAAGCAACTTGATAATCTATAGATTATTTGAATAAACATATTTTCTAATAACCTTGAAAACTCTTTGGGGTAAAAGGGAGGATTTAGGCAGACATCAGAAAATTCATAGAAGAGCAACAGAATCAATTAAGGGGCTAGAGGGACTGAGAAAAAAAGATTAAAAAGAATTAAATATGTAATACTACCGCTTGGCTAAATAACGAAGGTGGGGATATGATTGTGTTGCCTCTTTTTGATCTGAATGGTTATTCAAAGTTAAGGGCCCTGGGGATGTTTCTACTGGAAGTATTGAAGACGGAATCTCATATTTCCTGTGTACATTCCTTGTAAATAAACAAAATTGCATCAAAGTCCTGCTTTTCCGAATACAGGATTAACCAAAGGCAAAAAGAGGAGTTTCTTAGCTTACAGGTCCAAGCTTCTTTTTAGCCAGCATCCCAGAACCAGAACCTCTCTCTAAGTTTCTCTCGGGGTCTCACTTTGGTTATAGGCTTCTGCTTGGATTTTTCCAGGTAGTCTCTGTGTCTCTCTGGTCCTGTGCATGTGTGCCCCCAACCGCCACCAAAAACAATATTTAGCGCACACACACACACACACCATGTTCATACAGTCCAAACCTGTTCGGTGGGTTCACGTAACCCTTTACTTTTAGGTGGGGGGCTGTGGTTAATTTATCCTTACAGTTATGTTAACTGAAGAGTGTAGTCACACCCATCAATTGCAACAAGGTTTTAACCCAACCCATAACAAGGTTCCACCCAGCTCAAAAATAACTTTCCACATATTATTTTCTGAAGGTGTACACACCAAATAGGGAAAAGAATGTTAGAACAACTGTCATAAAATTAAGAAAAGGACAATTTAGGCTTTGGGGCAAAGATTAACTAGGATGCTAGACCAATAGACTGTTTCAGTGTAGTAACTCCTATTTCCCTAATCCAAACTGCTTTTCTGTATAGTTTGCTCTATTGCTGCTGGATTTATACACAAATGGCCTGGCCCATTTCTTCTGCACCACCAAAAACCATCTCTCCTGCCACCACTTTAGGACAACATCCCGATTCTCTCCAGCAGGAAGCAGGATTTCTTCATCTCACCTCCAATGCTCTCTTGTAGTCCCCCAGGTAAAAGGCACAGTATCCAATCCAGAGGTCGGTGTCCTCATCTTGTTCCCCCACATGCCGTTTAAACTTCAAAGAAAAAGGGATGCAAAAATGACACCAGCTGTCAAATTTTGTCAGATTGTCTCATGTGAAACAAATTCATTTATAAAATTAATATTAGGATGATTTCGGCTGGCTTGACAACCCTGGACACGGAAGTCAGGCAGTGTCAATAACACATTTTCAAGGACAGGCAGTTTCTATCCAGTCACATAGTCTCTGTACAAATATTTTAAAGCTGTAAACGTAAAGGAGGGCAAGTGATTATTCAGGCGGGTGCAGGGGGCATATCTAGGGTGTGAGAAAGAACAGAAAAGACAAATTAAGTTGAAACAGCTGGAACTTTTTCCAAACAGGGAGCTCTGCTGCAATTGGGAACAGTCTGCCAGAAGGAGCCTCATCACCCCAGTCATTGGGAGAAGGGTTTGGGCAAGGCCCCGGGGGCTGTGCTCTGGGCACCAATCCTGCACTGACGGGGGAATGTGGACCCGGTGTCCTGCGGCCCCTCCCACTCGCACCCCCGTTGTCTGGGAGACTGGCGGAGTTAGCTCGTTAGCTGCGGGAGCGCAGAGCCCCGTAGGCCGAGCCCCCCTCCCCCGTTACCTCCAGCAGGGCGATGGCGCCGGTGAAGTCCCTCTGGGCCAGCAGCTCCTCCAGCTGCGGGACTTTCTTGCCTTTCTTCTTCCGTTTGTCACCCTGCGGCGGGGCGCCCCCCACGGCCGGCTTGGCCCGGGAGAGCATCTGGAGGGGGCAGAAAGAAGAGGGGAGACCGGGTGAGAGCGGGGAGGCGCTGGGGGGCGTCAGACCTCCCCGCTCCTGGGTCCCACAAGCGGCGACCCCCTCCCCGCCCTGTCCCTCACCATCTTGCCCCTGGGCTCCTCGCTTCTCCAACGACTCCGTTACCCCAGTAACGGCGCGGAGGGGGAGGGAAGAATGAGTAAGTGAGACACCGAATAGGGCCCGGCTGGAACTCACGTCCCAGCTCACAGTTCCGGCCCCGACCCCGCGGCTAGCGCAAAAGAGGAGCCGCTCGATTCTCCGGGGAGAGTTTCAGAACGGGACATTTCCGGTGTGGCTCGCGCTTATCTCCATAGCAACCCAAGGAGCTGGGTGTAATTTTATCGCCGCAGTGTCACAATATTTATTTATTTATTTGTGGTTAATGTCCCAGCTCGTGGGGACGAGCGGTTGAGATGAGACTGTGAGTTTTCATTTATAATACAAGCCCAGCCGTCAGGGGTATGGAGACAAGCTTGAAAACAGGACCCAGGCACGCTTGAGAGGCTCATCAATCAAGAAAGCGAAGAGAACAGATTTTTGGTGTCTAACTCCTGCTTTTTCAGTGCCTGGGGTTGGTAATAGTGTGATTGTGCAGCAGAAAACTTGGGGCTGTGGTACAACACCAGTGCTTTTGTCAGGCGAGAACATAGTAACATCCTTTGACAACATGCTTAGAGGCTCTACATAGGATATAACACTAAATAATGAAAATCAGAACCGGGAACTATGGGGCTTTGTGCTCCCATGATGCTCCAGTGAAATCACTTAGATCAAGCTCTGTTTGATAACATACATGAAACTATTGATTGAGTGGATATCTCCAAAAGTAGTAGCAAAAAATCCAATGGACAAATATAAATGTACACAGATATGAGAGACTTGGACTCTTGTAAACAGTTCGTTGCCATCCCTTACAAAAATAAATGAAATGTTGAACAACAGATATCTGCTGAATTACCAGGGCATTTCTATTTAAGTGCCTACATATGCTTTATGCACCTAAATATGAAAATTATGATCAAAGTGACAAAGTTCAGAAAGAAATAATAACACCTGCATCATTTACTCTAGTAGAACTACCAAAGGGCTCATGGGGAAATACAGTCTTGGAGATAAGATCCGTTAATGATCAGGCAGTAACTCAGAGATATCAATATTTCTGGCAGTGTCCTCCCTTTCTATCTGCAGAGAAATAATCATACATTTCTAAACAAATGTCTTTGAAGAAAAA